ATAAAGTTTTAAATTTTCCTCATGTTTACCATATCTGAGAAATTGAAATTTCTCTCTTGACTTATATTTTTTTTCTGCAGCCCATGAAAGATTTGGTTGATGCCGCCTGGGCCTTGCAGTGCTGCAAGGGAAAGACACTCATGCGGGTTCGGGTGTCATCTGCAAAGGAAGGGACACGGTGCGTGGGACCCTTGCTATGTCGGATATGAGGTGGGGAAAACAAGATGGGGCTAGTACTGTGCCTTGGGGAAACCCGATTTTTTCACCGTAGTGCTCGGACTTTACTCGTTGCGATATCTCTGTGTTCTGTTAGTGGGGGAAATTATGACCCATCGACCGACTTTTCCTGTTTTTCCCTTTAGCGCGCTTTTTTGTGCGCTTTTAGCCAGGGTCACACTTGTCAAAGGGCTTTGCAAAGTCTGTAATATTACATCTGCATTTTTTTGTCTTCTAGTGCTTTTAGGACCTTGTCGTAGTGACCCAGTACTGGACAGACGGAGGCCCTTTCAAACCCATGTGCCCGGGGTTTGTGAAACTGAGGGGTTTCAGTGGGTGGTGATCTTGCTTCTTAGGCCCTTTAAAAGTTTTATGATAGGGGTGTTAGTGCTATTGGTCTGTGTTCTTTGCTTTTTTCTTTACTGCCCCCTTTGGGGAGGGGGGCATGTCTGTTGTTTTTAGTAACTGAGGGACACCCCCGTGTCCATTCCCCTCCATGGGATGGAAAAGGCTTGATAGGGGCTTTTTCCCAGTTTTTTTTGATAAAACCACAGGTTCCTGGTCTGGCCCGGGGGAGAGTGCAGGGCATGTCATTTATCGCCGTTTGAAGTCATTTGGATAGGATAACATTGGTAGGCTTGTGTTAATCAAATTTTGTGGCTTCATAAAAAATTTATTTTTTTTCGACTCTCGTCTGGTGTGGTTGATCCGGGACAAAAAGACATAATTTTGGGAAATGCTCTGCATAAAAAGGGACTTTTATATGTAGTATTTTTTATGTCAGCTTGGTCGATACCTTTTACATGTACTTGAGAAAAAGATATTATTTTTATATTATTTTATTCTTGTTACAACGCCCCCGCAATAGCAACATTTCTTCATGTCACAACAGCTCAAAAAATAGCAACATCACTCGGGGCCATATTCTTTTCCCCTTTATTTTTTTTTTTTAAAAAGGAAAAAAAACTTTGTTTGCTCTGAGTCCAGTCAAGGCTCGATAAATGTAAGCTTTTGGGGGCCCAAAAACCCCCATCAATAACTACGCAACCCACGATAGTACAGCAAAAAACCCAAAGAAACTACAAATTGCTTGTAACTACAGCAACTACAACAATGAAATGAAGACAGAAATGTTAACTCCTGTAGGGGAAAAACAAAAAAGGCCAGTGTGTATTCCATCCCGTGGTAAGTCCACTTAATTTACTGCCCAATTTGGTTTCAGGGGTTGAGTTATACTCCTGGCCCTGCTTCTTCTCTGGTCGCTGCTAGGATATCTAATTTATTGTGGCACAGGAGGTATACATGGAGTGGTACATACAGTGGTACCTTGACTTACGAGTGCCCAGCGGTGAGAGTAGCGACTCTCATTGCTGAGGTCCTGGTAATAAACCCTGCGCATTAACATAAAAAATTTTGGTCGCCGTTGCCCAGTGGTGAGAGTAGTGACTCTCATTGCTGAGGTCCAGGTAATAAACCCTGGACATTTGTGGCACTTATGGGTTTGGAAAAGGCGTATGACAGGGTGGATAGGGGGGCAATGTGGCAGATGTTGCAGGTGTATGGTGTAGGAGGTAGGTTACTGAAAGCAGTGAAGAGTTTTTACGAGGATAGTGAGGCTCAAATTAGAGTATGTAGGAAAGAGGGAAATTATTTCCCAGTAAAAGTAGGCCTTAGACAAGGATGTGTGATGTCACCGTGGTTGTTTAATATATTTATAGATGGGGTTGTAAGAGAAGTAAATGCGAGGGTCTTGGCAAGAGGCGTGGAGTTAAAAGATAAAGAATCACACATAAAGTGGGAGTTGTCACAGTTGCTCTTTGCTGATGACACTGTGCTCTTGAAGATTCTGAAGAGAAGTTGCAGAGATTGGTGGATGAATTTGGTAGGGTTTGCAAAAGAAGAAAATTAAAAGTGAATACAGGAAAGAGTAAGGTTATGAGGATAACAAAAAGATTAGGTGATGAAAGATTGGATATCAGATTGGAGGGAGAGTATGGAGGAGGTGAATGTATTCAGATATTTGGGAGTGGACGTGTCAGCGGATGGGTCCCTATGAAAGATGAGGTGAATCATAGAATTGATGAGGGGAGAAGGTGAGGTGCACTTAGGAGTCTGTGGAGACAAAGAACTTTGTCCTTGGAGGCAAAGAGGGGAATGTATGAGAGTATAGTTTTACAACGCTCTTATATGGGTGTGAAAGCATGGGTGATGAATGTTGCAGCGAGAGAAGGCTGGAGGCAGTGGAGATGTCATATCTGAGGGCAATGTGTGGTGTGAATATAATGCAGAGAATTCGTAGTTTGGAGTTAGAAGAGGTGCGGATTACCAAAACGGTTGTCCAGAGGCTGAGAAGGGTTGTTGAGGTGGTTCGGACATGTAAGAGAATGGAGCGAAACAGAGTGACTTCAAGAGTGTATCAGTCTGTAGTGGAAGGAAGGCGGGGTAGGGGTCGGCCTAGGAAAGGTTGGAGGGAAGGGGTAAAGGAGGTTTTGTGTGCGAGTGGCTTGGACTTCCAGCAGGCATGCGTGAGCGTGTTTGATAGGAGTGAATGGAGACAAATGGTTTTTAATACTTGACGTGCTGTTGGAGTGTGAGCAAAGTAACATTTATGAAGGGGTTCAGGGAAACCGGCAGGCCGGACTTGAGTCCTGGAGATGGGAAGTACAGTGCCTTCACTCTGAAGGAGGGGTGTTAATGTTGCAGTTTAAACTGTAGTGTAAAGCACCCTTCTGGCAAGACGGTGATGGAGTGAATGATGGTAAAAGTTTTTCTTTTTTGGGCCACCCTGCCTTGGTGGGAATCGGCCAGTGTGATAATAATAAAAAAAAAAATTAACAAAACGAGTTACAAGCCGTCGCTCAGTTGATTTTTGCTTTGAGTTGCAAGCCAAAATCCTATTTATGAGTGAGCTTCAGATATGCCGCCAAATAGTGGCGGCATATTTAAAGTCAAATCCAATTCTGTACACAGAGGAATGTCAGGTACTTCATCCCATCCCACATGCTCTTCCAAGACATAAGTGGAAGGGTAATACTCCCTACACTAATCCGAGATTGTAGTGAGGCACCTTCTCCCTTGTTTGTGTCTTGTATAAATCTGGGGAAGAGGTAATCTCCATTTTAACACTCAGAGTTTTTCCGGAAATATTAGTTATTGTGGGTGGAGTACTGATAGTGGTGGGTGGAGTAGTGATGGTGGTGGGTGGAGTAGTGATGGTGGTGGGTGGAGTACTGATAGTGGTGGGTAGAGTAGTGATGGTGGTGGGTGGAGTACTGGTAGTGGTGGGTGGAGTAGTGATGGTGGTGGGTGCAGTAGTGATAGTGGTGGGTGGATTAGTGATGGTGGTGGATGGAGTAGTGATAATGGTGGGTGTAGTAGATATGGTGGTGGGTGAAATAGTGAGGGTGGTGGGTGTAGTAGAGATGGTGGTGGGTGGAGTAGTGAAGGTGGTGGTTGGAGTATACAATATTTCTTATTTATAAATACATACATTTTTTCTTATTTAAAAACCCATAACAAAAAAAAATTGGGGTGGTTTTTTGTGGGGCTGGAGCGGATTAATGGCATTTCAATTAATTTCAGTGAGAAAAATTGATTCGATATACGAACAAATTGAGTTACGAGCTTGGTCACAGAACGAATTAAACTCGTAAGTCAAGGTACCACTGTATATCTGTTTATATCGTAATATTTTTATGATGCACCCCAATACCCAAGGAGTGGGTGGTAGTCACCCTATATACCTATGGTGTAGGTGGTAGTCACCCTGTATACCTATGGTGTAGGTAGGTGGTAGTCACCCTATATACCCATGGTGTGGGTGGTAGTCACCCTATATACCCATGGTGTGGGTGGTAATCACCCCATGCCCATCTTGTCTTGGACACATTATGTGCCTCTTACAGAGGCACATAATGTGTCCAAGAACTGGAACTGGAAATTTTGATAGATATTCTGAGAATTTGTTTTAGTCTCTGTTTTAAGAATTTAAGTATTTTTGTCTAGGGTGAAAAGGTTACATGCAGCAATATTACTACAAGGACCCAATGGAAATAAGTCTCTTCGTACACATACAGTACACTGGTTGGAGAGTTGGTTGTAAGTCCGAGCGGTCGTTAAACAGGTAGGTCATTAAGTGAGGAGTACCTGTATTCTACTGTAATTATTACAAAATCATGTAATTGGGAAAATTGGGAAATAATTGATTACACAAGCAGTTGTTTACATCTTTATTTCTTCTGAAGATGTACTTACTTGTAAATGTACAAAAGAATTCAGATGGTTATGTGCAGTTAATGTTTTGAATGTTTTTTTTTTTCTCTCATATTTTTAATCAAACATTTTCCAGTGATTTCTTCCCTTATATAGTAATCTTTATACAAAGCCCATTTTATATTCAGTGTTTCCAGTAGGACTTGAACTAACATGTCTATTCAGACTTAATTTCATCATTTGGCCTCCTTGTGTTCTGATGGGAGTTTCTGTATTGAGGCATAACTCTTAATTCTTTTAGTTTGTCTCATAACACTTAGTCTTTCATTTTCCACATACATAATTCAGAGGTGATAGTTACTAAAATATTTATCACATGTTAAACTGTTACGATAGTTCGACATTTGAGCTTATATTAGCCTCTCACCTCAAGAAAATGCCATCACTATTTTTATCTTTTCTCTATGAATGTTTTCCAATGATGATCATGGGTTGTCACATTACTGCAGTACCTTGTATATTGGTTCATCTTCGTGGTACTCTACAATATTTTTAGTAAACTAATTTTCCAGCCCTCCGTTGTGGACAAGCTGTTTGTGCTGGACGTATCACCTTTAAGTATTTCAAAGGATATTGCAACTTTGTCACGATTTTTAGAAATTATGCAAAGAAGAGAGGTACCCATGCACCTTACCATGCAGGAAGCACAAAAATGCACTGATGAAATTCTGAGTCCTGCTGTTCCAGTGAGTATGATGCTGTAATATTTTTACTTAACTTTTTATGTGAAATTTTATAAGTGTGGATAACAATTCAAAGATAAAATTGTATTTTCATGTCATGATTATATCAGTGCCAGTCTACAGTACAATATTTTGATCAAAATACAGTATTATTAGTACAGTATATTAAAAACAAGCGTTGAACCAATGTGATTCATGCAGATTTTTTAAATTTTTTGCATAGCCATTATTTTAATGTACCAGTCATTGTTAATAATAATAGTAATAATAATAAAAGAATAAGTCACAATGCTGATGTTGGAACTATTCAAGACTAATCCACAGTTTGAAGACGATGCTTGAACATGTGTCCTGGATCATTATTAAGTTGCAAGCAAGAGCAAAGAGGTAGAGAAAACCAGACAATAAGTCAGGTGAAGAGATGAGGAGGCAGCCAATATCAGGTCAAGTCTGATGATTAGAGCATTTGACAGTGTACTGGGAAGACCAGTATAAACAGAAATATTACCAGGGCAAAGATTTACGTGAAGAATTTTGTATATATATGTGCCATTTCAACAAGATGACATCTGTGAGGGCTTCAATAACGTTAGATATTTTTGGCAGACAGTTAACTTATTGTGGGTATGGCTATGATTTAAAAAATAATAGAAAATAGCATTATTATTATTGGTGGAGCAACTTTTTGTGTGTTCTTAGTCATATCAGAATTGAAATGGTAAGTTTCATGAGTATATTGGAAAGTAAAAGATGAGCAAGAGACACTAAAACTGCCTTTAAATTAAAAAAAAAATTGTATCTGTTGATAAAGAAATTTTTGAGAATCAACATGAAAAATAAATATTTAATTTTTCTTTTAAACTAACTTACCAACCTTTGTTAAATTAAAACAATATTAGGTCCCCCATAGCCATGGGAGATAAGTTCCAAGACTTGCGGATACTGAAACCGTGGATAGTAGTGAACCCTATATACAGTATGTCATTTTTTTGTACTTATGATGTTGGGTTTTGGAGGGGTATAGGGATGGATGCTGGAAGCAATGAGGTGTGATGGTGACCATGTGGGTGGTAGTGTGGATGATGGATGTTGAGCAGGTGAGTGTGCAGTTGGTGTGGACAGTAATTAGAGTGGCTAGTGGCTCAATGGAATGTTTGGGGAATGTGTGGGGCATGAAAACATGGGTAAGGTGGGGGTGTGGGGCAGTGAGGGCTAGAATCTGTAGGGAAGTGGTGAGTGAAAGGATGAATATGGTGTGGGGCCATGTGAGCTTGAAGCTGTGAGGGAGTGGTGAGTGACAGCATGAGTATGGTGTGGGGCCATGTGAGCTTGAAGCTGTCAGGGAGTGGTGAGTGACAGCATGAGTATGGTGTGGGGCCATGTGGGCTTGAAGCTGTCAGGGAGTGGTGTGGGTGAAAGGTGTGCTTGTCATTGGCTTGGTGTAGGTGGTGATTGGATGATGGGTGACAGAGTGGACAATTATACAGCTGGTGGTAATGAGTGTGGTGGGTAACTAAGTGATTAGGTATGGTGACAGCATGTTAGGGTGAAAGGTCAGGTAAGGTGTGCAAGTGAGGTCATAGGGGATATATGGCCATGAGGGAATGGTGATTGCGGGGAGAATGGTATAGGTGTGAGCGTGTGGCCTTGGGGAAAATTGTATCTGCAGATTGTGTGGGGTAGGTTGTTGGTCGGGACGGTATGGATGAAGGCTGAGATTTACACCAAATGTTGCCAGATTGCTGAACTGTTTTTTGGTAACCTTAACTTATTTTCCAAATATTTTTGATGGTTTTCATACCTGCCCAAGCTTGGCTACCTCCCCTTAATTATAAAATATCTTAGCCTATTGTAGGTACTCACCAGCTTCTCAGTTCTTTATTGTTGCTGTGATGATATAATGTGATGATGATACAGTGCCTGTGAGGATGAGATGAAGTGAGGTGATGGTGTAGGTACTGTGATTGTGTTAGGTGATTGACTAGTGAGGAAGCGATGCAAAGAGGAGTAGAATTGGCAAACAGTAGGTGGAAAATCTGTGTTGTATACTGGGGAGAGATTGAGGAAAAGAAGGAATCATGGTTTTACAATCCCATGAAGGGAATTTGTAATAGCCTTTACTGTTTGTTTTATTTATTTTAAAATACCCAAAAATAAATTAAGAATTTTGGAGGATGCAGAATAATGATATGTTGTTCAATTCCTTCTATGCAGTTCGTCTTTAGCCTTGTTCATATAAAGTTAACTATAACATCCTAAATGTTAACAATTTGGCACAAATTTTACCAAGGTGTTGCCATATCAAAAATCATTATTTTTATTTCTTTTCTTATTTTTGGGCAAACTTCTCTTTGGACCACCTTAACTTAAAATAAAAAATAATTGAAATTAAACTATTATTAAAAATTACCTAGTAGAAGCCTGCTTCCCTCTTAATATTTCCAGGCCACCTTGAACCATGGATTACTGGAACCTTGGAAACCGAACCTGCAGATATGGGGGTTCTATTATAATCTAGCTTAATCTCGCCCAGCTTATGTTAAGTCAGTTAAAATTTAGTTAGTAATATTTTACATCAGTTAAATATATTTATTTTGTGACATTGAGACTACTATTGCAATAACTGCAAAAATCAAGCTACACTTTGCAAAATGATCTTTGCTTTATAATCCAAGAATACAAGCTCTGTCTAAAAAGGACATGCATATACTGAACACATATACAGTAAAACCTTTTATACTGCATCCTTTTATACTGTAGTACAATTTTGTGTAAACAAAATTGACCAAGTGCAATCAAAATTTCATGGCACAAAACAATCTCGATTTTACACAATGGTAATAAAATATGTACATATGTACATACATTAAGCAGTGTCCAAAATTTGGGTAGTACACTCCAGAGATATTTCTTAGTGTGTTTACCAGGCTATAAGCAACACCCTGCCCCCAGCCTCCCACTGCTTGTACTCAGCAAGAGCAAGTCATGTCTTCTAGACTGCATTTTTCTTACCTAACTAATGTTTTCCAATTTTTGTGTAGATTATGAATGCTTAGTTTATATAAAAGATCTGTATAAAATAAACCATACCACAGGCGGGGATAGAACCCGCAATTAGAGAGTATGGTTTGGTTTGTTTGCAATTGTGTCATTACGATTTCATGAGTCCTGTATAAAATGTTTGAAGAGATTATTCAATATACATGTATTAATATCAGGAATTGACAAAATTTCAATAGAAGAGGAAGAAGACTTAATTCAGATTATTAAACCCTGAAGATTAGTAACCTAATATCATACATTATTATAATTTGTCCTGTAATTGTTTTACATGATGGTAGGATTACTGGTGTCTTTTTTCTGTCTCTTAAACATGCAAGATTTCAGATACGTCTTGCTACTTCTACTTACACTTAGGTCACACTACACATACATGTACAAGCATATATATACACACCCCTCTGGGTTTCTATTTTCTTTCTGGTTCTTGTTCTTGTTGATTTCCTCTTATCTCCATGGGAAAGTGGAACAGAATTCTTCCTCCGTAAGCCATGTGTGTTGTAAGAGGCGACTAAAATGCCGGGAGCAAGGGCCTAGTAACCCCTTCTGTATAAATTACTAAATTTAAATAGAGAAACTTTCATTTTTCTTTTTGGGCCACCCTGCCTTGATGGGATACGGCCGGTTTGTTGAAAAAAAAAATTATAATTTGTAATCACACAATAGTGTTTCTTTAACAGTGACATATGTATGTACTGTAACTGCATTTGTACAGTTGTTGAAAATGTTCATGATTAAGCCTGGTACAATTTGGTAAGGAAATTTGGCTTTACTTTTTATGTTTACATGCACCAAATGTGCATCAGCTGATTAACATTGCTACATCTAACTCTGCCCAGTAGGTCCATGTTAACCCTTACCATGCTTTAAATGCTTCTATTAAAAATACATACAGGAAGTATTGTTTTCTTAGAAAGGGCTCCAGATCTTGGGTCTGGCATTGGTGTCACTCGTCCTGAACAAGTTCCTTATTATCTCCCTCACTAGATCACCTTTCAACTGAGATGCTTTGATGCTGGTTAAGAGTTTTTGATGCGAGGAATAGGAGCTACCTTCCCAATCCTTGTATCAACCCTGAATAAACCCCCTTACCTCCCGTCTCCCATTCTACAAAAAGGGGGCTCCAGAAGTTTTATATAGGAGGGGTTTAAGGGTGACAATGTGGTTGGAATAAGAGTGGGGACTAGGGGACTTGTCTTGAACCTACCTTATTATTTTTATTTTGGGGGCTGAAGGAATGGCCGTGTGGGTTTCAGTCACCTCTGACCAGCCTTGTATGACCCCTACGAGTTTTAGCTCTTTGATTAAGGTGATTAATTTCTATTTAAAATGTTTGCCCTCATCTTTGTCCCACCTTTCTTGTTTCCTCAGATGACTATGTCGAGGCCTCATATTACTGTGTTCACGTGGAAACATTGAACCTGTAAGGGTGTCATGTCACAGAGTATCTTGCAGTCACGTATTAACTATAAATAATACATCTATTGCTTGGTTAATGGGGTTTGAAGCCTATAGACTACATGAGGGTCATTAATTATAAGGCTGCACATAACCTGTTCACCACCAGTCAAGAATACTTTAATACTGTAGCTAAAATAGGGATCAAAGTGAGCTCTCATTTATTCACTAAGACATACATCCCTCGGTGTATATATCCTGTGCGTGGATCAATATATGTCATTTTTGACATTGATTCAGTCAGGTTAACAGGTAATGAGTATGTAAACAGTTGTTTGCATTGCATTATCCATTAATATTATATATTTTTCTTCAAATTTCTTTAGCAAATGCTAAGATAGTTATTGAGTTTATAATACATATATGGTTAAAAATGCCAAGATGTCTTGCTGTTAAAGTTATGAGGAATTTTATTTGCCATGGTAGGGGATATTACTCCACAGGGCAAAGCCAGTATGATGGCTGAGTTAGAGCTGAGATGTAGCAGTGACCTGAACGAGTTAGTGTGAGCTGAGACATAGCAGTGACCTGAATGAGTTAGTGTGAGCTGTGACGTAGCAGTGACCTCAACGAGATTGTGAGCTGAAACGTAGCAGTGGCCTGAATGACTATTTTGCTGAGCTCTGAGCTCCAAGTTCCACAGATAAGTTCACTTTGACGTTCACTTAGTTTTAAAAACAGGATTTTTTAACAATTGCTCGGAATTTTAGCAGATATTTAGTATTTCATAGGTAGTAGATTGGTAGACAGCAACCGCCCAGGGAGGTACTACCATCCTGCCAAGTGAGTGTAAAACAAAAGCCTGTAATTGTTTTACATGATGGTAGGATTGCTGGTGTCTTTTGTCTGTCTCATAAATATGCAAGATTACAGGTACGTCTTGCTACTTCTACTTAAACTTTGGTCACACTAAACATACATGTACACATTTATTTATGCACACTTATCTGAGTTTTCTTTGATTTTAGTTTAGTTCTTGTTCTTATTACTTTTCCTTTTATATCCATGGATAAGTGAATAAGAATCTTTTCTCCGTAATCCATGCATGTTGTAAAAGTCAACTAAAATGCCGGGAACAATGGGCTAGTAACCCCTTTTCCTGTAATAATTACTAAAAAGAATAAGAAGAAAATTGTCAAAGTGGGAAGTTTGAATGTGCGTGGATGTTGTGCGAATGATAAGAAAGAGATGATTGTGGATGTTATGAATGAGAAGAAGCTGGATGTCCTGGCTTTAAGTGAAACAAAGCTGAAGGGGGTGAGTGAGTTTCAGTGGAGAGGAATAAATGGGATTAGGTCAGGGGTTTCTAATAGAGTTAGAGCTAAAGAAGGAGTAGCAATAATGTTGAAGGATAAGCTATGGCAGGAAAAGAGGGACTATAAATGTATTAATTCAAGGATTATGTGGAGTAAAATAAAGGTTGGATGTGAGAAGTGGGTTATAGTAAGCATATATGCACCTGGGGAAGAGAGAAGTATAGAGGAGAGAGAGAGAGATTTTGGGAAATGTTGAGTGAATGCATGGGGAGTTTTGAACCAAGCGTGAGAGTACTTGTGGTTGGGGATTTTAATGCTAAAGTGGGTAAAAATGTGGAGGGAGTAGTAGGTAAATTTGGGGTGCCAGGGGTAAATGAAAATGGGGAGCCTTTAATTGATCTATGTGTAGAAAGAGGTTTGGTAATAAGTAATACATATTTTATGAAAAAGAGGATAAATAAATATACAAGGTATGATGTAGCACATAATGAAAGTAGTTTGTTAGATTATGTATTGGTGGATAAAAGGTTGATGGGTAGGCTCCAGGATGTACACGTTTATAGAGGGGCAACTGATATATCGGATCATTATCTAGTAGTAGCTACAGTTAGAGTAAGAGGTAGATGGGATAAGAGGAAAATAGCAACAACAAGTAAGACGGAGGTGAAAGTGTATAAACTAAGAGAGGAGGAAGTTCGGGTGAAATATAAGCAACTATTGGCAGAAAGGTGGGCTGGTGCAAGTATGAGTAGTGGGGGGGTTGAAGAGGGTTGGAATAGTTTTAAAAATGCAGTATTAGAATGTGGGGCAGAAGTTTGTGGTTATAGGAGGGTGGGTGCAGGAGAAAAGAGGAGTGATTGGTGGAATGATGAAGTAAAGGGCGTGATAAAAGAGAAAAAGGTAGCTTGTGAGAGGTATTTACAAAGCAGAAGTGTTATAAGAAGAGTAGAGTATATGGAGAGTAAAAGAAAGGTGAAGAGAGTAGTGAGAGAGTGCAAAAGGAGAGCAGATGATAGAGTGGGAGAGGCACTGTCAAGAAATTTTAATGAAAATAAGAAAAAATTTTGGAGTGAGTTAAACAAGTTAAGAAAGCCTAGGGAACAAATGGATTTTTCAGTTAAAAACAGAGTAGGGGAGTTAGTAGATGGGGAGAATATTTTGAGGAACTTTTAAATATCGACGAAGAAAGGGAGGCAGTAATTTCATGCACTGGCCAGGGAAGTATACCATCTTTTAGGAGTGAAGAAGAGCAGGGTGTAAGTGTCAATTATTCTATTGTGATTATTCTATTGTTATTATTGTTATTGTAATTATTATATTGCACTAAACTTAATATTTCATGTGGTAAAAGTTTTTTTTTTTCATACTTTTGGGTATCTTGCACGGATTAATTTGATTTCCATTATTTCTTATGGGGAAAATTGATTCGCTTTCCGATAATTTTGGTTTACAATGAGCTCTCAGGAACGGATTAATATCGTGAACCGGGGGTCCACTGTACTTCTAAACTGTTGTATTCTGGGTACCTCTGCAAAAACAGTGATTGTGTGAGTGAGGTGAAAGTGTTGAATGATGATGAAAGTATTTTCTTTTTGGGGATCTATTTCTTTCTGGGTCACCCTGCCTTGGTGGGAGACGGCCGACTTGTTGAAAAAAAAAAAAATCTTGTATGTATTATATACCTGCCATATCATGTTTTTCGACTTTGAATTTAATTATGCATAATGCAGTACTTACTTTGAATTTTATGAAAATTTTGTGTGGGCTTTTATTAATCTCTCTCAGGTCTTCAAAAAAATGCCCAACTAGCAGACTTGTATATTTTATCTCTTATCTATGAACTGATAGCGATAAAGTTGCTGCAGCCCTGTTTTTGTATTTTACATCCTCAGTGATGCATTATACAATCATGATACATTCTTTTATGAATATTTTATTATTGATTGACTGGTTAATGAGGTTTAAAGCTTAGCTGCTATATGAGGGTCAGTAAGGCTGCACGTCACCTATACACCACCAGTCAAAATACTTACATACTTAATATAGGCATTTAAAGTACACCATCAATGTACGTACATGTATATACACAGACATACACATGGGCTACATACACTGAGACATGCACCTCAGTGTATATATCCAGTGTATGACTTCTTAATTACTGATAAATATACCTGGTAGTGGTCTGTTTCTAATAGTGTTTATTCTCCAAAAATCATGCTTATGATCTTCATTTATAATTATCTTAATTATTTATATTTTATTTAACAAGCGTTAAATACGTGAGGGTTACATTTATTGATATATATATAAATACAATCAATAATAGTGAATAAAGTTTTCTTTAATATAAAATTGAAAAGGCATAAATAAAAAACGTATTAAAAATATTTGTACGTAGTATATAGAAAACATTTGAATACATATATAATTATTGAGACGAATGTATATAGAGTCTTGAGGGTTTATTCCCTAGGGTCTCTAGCCTAGTAGAACTGGAGGAAGAGTGCTGGTCTGTAGCCTAGTTGTACTGGAAGATGGTTGCTCATCTTTGTAGCCTAGTAGTACTGGAAGAAGACTGCTCAACTCTGTAGCTTAGTAGCACTGGAAAAAGGTTGCTAGTCTCTGTAGCTTAGTAATATTTGAAGATTGCTTGTTTTTAGTCTAGCAGAACTGGAAGAGTACTAGTCTCTGTAGGCTAGTCGTACCTGGAAAGTAGGTTAAGGTTTGTCAGGAAATGGATAAATTTTCCCTAAAGGGTCTTAGTGATGACCAGCAGTTGGAGGTTTTGGTCATCTGACCAAGGTCTTCTGCTGGCTTACTGGTTCACCCCTTTAAAAAAAATTGCAGAAATCAACATTTAAATTGAAAAATTTGTATATTGGGAGAAAATTGCTTGGCTGTAACTGTAAACTGTCTTCCAGAGCCACGACCACTAGGTGGTGATTTGCCTGCTTCTCAGTGTTAAAAGTTAGTCTCCCAGTCACCATTACTAGCTGGTTCAGTTTTCAGGTCTTCGAGTTACTGGGCATATCTCCAAGATGTCTAGAATATATCTGGCAAAATGAGTCAGTGTCTGGCCGAGTTGAATTCACGAATCCATTGAGCTAACTAGGAAGTCTCCACTACAGCCTTGTACTGGCAGTCCCTAGCTGTAAATAGAACTATTATTTAGATATAAAATATGAATCTAGGTAATTGCACGTGTAAATCTTTGATCTGAATCAATGGTAAATATGTTGCTTTAAGTACAGAAGAGAAAGTCACCACTTTCCTTCAACACTTAACCCCTTGACTGTCGAAACCCCAAATCCTGAGGTGTCTCCTGGTGTCAAAAATTTTTTGGAAAAAAAACAAAAAAAATCATATGAAATGATAGAGAATCTTTTCCCGATGGTAATGACACCAAAAGAATGAAATTTGATGGAAAACTGACGGAATTACGCTCTCACGAAGTTAGCAACCTCGGCGATATTTACGAATCGGCAATTTCGCCCACTTTGAGCTATATTTTCGGCTAATTCTGTTGTTCCAGTTGACCAAACTCATAGCTCTTTCTTTAGAACTCCATTTTTTCTATCGATTGAGTACAAGAAACTGCCCATTTACCAATTTCAACTACCCAATAACATGGTCAGAAATTTGCAAATTGGCCAATTTCATGAAAATTAAAAAATATGACAATTTCAAAATAGGGTCCAGAATGAACAATGCAGACATTCTTGGCTCTAA